TACTGACGTCATAAAAATGTTGCAACATTACATTAGAATTTATGTCAATAGTGTTTATTATATCATTTGTAGTAAATCGAAAAGCAATTTAGCTAGGTTACTTTCTATTGCTCTAAATGAAATCAAGATAAATCAAAGTGTTGTGAAAATTGCACAATTGTATAGCGCGCGTATGTAAATATACGCGTGTTGAGTTTTTTTCCGACTAATTAAATTAAAATGTGGTATACTCTAAGTGAGTTCTTTTTACTTCGCTACCAATTGTATTATTTTTAAATTTGTTGTGATCTGCCAAAAAGGTTTGTTGATTCAATAAAAAGATTGACAGAAATCTGGGATTTCTGTGTAAAACTAAAATCATCTAAATAAATACATCTAAAAGCTGTTTGCCTATCGCGACATACCTAAAGAAAAATGTTGTCAGTAACGTTTTCTAAATGTTACAACGTAAACTTTACTTCTTTATTGACGTTATAATCTACCAAACGTAAGCGGTCATATGGAACGTTTCTGTCATAGGGTGCAATATTTTATCTGAATCTATATGCAATATTTTGTTTAAAAGTTTTGAATGAAAAATATTAACGTTTCTTTATTAACAAAAGGCAAACACAAACTCAAAAGTAATCAAAAAAACAGTTGCGTAGTGCAGAGGTCTACCTTTCATTTAATACTTTACCTTTTAAAATTACGTCTAGCTTGTTCTAAACGATTCATATCTTCGTTGAGTAGATAGAGTTTATAGCCGATCAAGCTATTTCTAAAATAAAGAATAAATATTATTATTTTATTTCTTAAGTAAAAAATAATATTACAGACAAAGAAAATGTTTTTCTGCTAAGATTATACTTGGTGCATATCATGAGTACTTTTATACGTACTTGCAATATTCTTCCACGTCAAAATTTATAAGTTCTTTATATCCAAATTCCTTTTCATTATCAGCGCTCAAATTTTCAAATACACTTATAAAATTTATATTATTAAATTGGAAAAACTTAATCAAAAAAAAGGACAGAGCATGGTTCGCTACATACACTTTTCGTTGCAATCGTATTAGCCTAAATGAATCAAATAACGTGTTACACTTATACAGAAAATCTCACATTTGGTATCGCATATTTTCGAAAATATGTTGTAAATAACAAGTTTTAGATAAAACTTACATTGGATTTGCACCAAATAGTTTTAATATTCTATCTATGAATAATGCAGGCACAATATGTAATATTATCATTAATATGTAATATAACAAACGACTTTTTGTCATAATCACATTTGGTTTCCAAATGATGCGTTCGAAAGGAATATCACTAAAGTTACGTAGTCCAGTGCTTAACATTTCACTTAAACTTATGCTTTTTATGTTGCACAAAGAGCTGTTATAAATGTGAACGGTATTGTCCTCAGAGATACTGATTCATAAAAAATCTTATGAAGTTTAACGTACTTTCGCCATTGATTGAAATAATGTATTAGGTACTAAAGAACGGCTTGATTATATACCTTTGTATTCCGCGTTTCCAAGACACGATTAACATTGCTCTAATTACTAAATCTATCGGGATAAAGTCGCAATTTAAACTAGAATCTGCATAAGCTACGCGTAGTATTCCAATACCACCGCCAATATTCAAACCAATTGGACCATTAAAATTGTCACTCCAACCTGGTATAGGATCCTTAATTGTTGATAAAACTATAGACGGTCTAAAGATAATGCAAGGCAGTGATTCCGAAAAGTCACTTATTATTTGCTCGGCCAATCTTTTTGTAAAAACGTACGTGTTTACGAACGTTCCTATATATCTGCAAGAATCAACAAATAGACGTAATCAATATTTTATTATGTTACAATAGTAACATACATAAATGATATTACAATAGTAGTATATACACAACGTATGTATTTCATGTATATGCACGTTTGTAATAATATAGAATTACTTTGTTGTGAATATTTTTAGAATTTCTTCGTCAACAGACTCAGCGATCTTGATCGTCTGCCTCCAGTCGACTTTCAAGGGATACAAGATCTCGTCCACCACGGGTTTGTCGCTTTGTGTGTACGCCGAGCTCATATGATGTAAAGCCTTTTTTGATAAATATGTAAATCGAACATTACGATATAGTTAGAATTCTGTCTAATAAGCACGCAAAGCTACAGAGAGAAATTTACTTGCAAACAAATATGTAGAGAAAAAAACTTACTACTATATTTTTCATGGACTGGGCTAAAATACAAACGTCGCGCGTTGCTCGCAAGTTGCTGAAAATTATATTTTTGAGACTCTCATCAAAACGGACAATAGCCGCAATGTGAAAGATTATCGATACTCTTTCGATTAACAATTGTCTGTCGTTTGGCAACAATCCCAAGTCTTTAGCAGTTACGTCTCCGCTTATAGGAATGAGTTTATCGAGATTGGATGGC